AAGACAGATTAATTGAAATACTCACATCAATAGAGACACTATTTAATACCTCAGTCAATTCAGCTAACAGCTGAGTCATAGAATGAATACAAAACAACTAATAAGATTTTATATAGTTGAGAAGTATTTTTATGAATCTTTATATGACAAACGTAGTTCAAAATCTAATATATGGAACTGTATAATGTTGTACAGTTGGGAATGATAAGCATATAAAATTTAGTAATAGTTTTTAATCTTCATTTAAAAGAGGAGAATAATAAATGATTAGGGAAAAAAGGTGCCCCCAAATGCCCTGCTACGATCGAGGGTGGAGAGTGTCATCTATCCCTATCGAAATGGTCTTACATGACCACGCGTATACAACCAGTGACACACATATTCTACTCACTGACTTCTTGTGGCACTACTGTAGTTTACGAAGTTTAAGAGACGAAAAAAGAATGTCTGAAGCTTTAATTAGGTTGGTGGATATGGAGGATCTACTCAGGGGAGTTGGAGAACCCTTATTCTAAACCAACCGTGCACATGGACTCCACGATCCTCAAGGAACAAGTGACGTATGAAATTATTCTTGGTGACCGGTTACCATGGGACTGCATCTCCTTACGTTGCTCCACTGCCTTGTAGATTAGACCTTTAGGTCGAGGGTGTGGCCTCCTCAAAGAAAACCACCTGCTTCGGTCTTGGCATCTGGACAGTATCACAGCACACACACAAATCAAGTGATTTATGTGACGCATATGTATTCGGTGCCCTCTTTGTATCAATATTTATGTGTTCAAATAAATAAACAAAATAAGGGAAAATAGTACAAATGTAAACAGAATAATCTTTTATAGAAAGGTAAAGAAAGATTCAAAACCCAACCGAATTCATCTTGGGTTACATTACGGTTAATGGGTATCGATTTAACTGATACCTGTCAATCTTGTCGATGAACATATATATATTAATCACTATGTCAAGCAAACACATTTTAATTTAATGGTTTAAGCCTAATTTGATTATCGATTAAAATAGATGATAAGGTCAGTATAAATCCATATAACAATGATCATTTCCCTCATTATAATTAATAACTAGGGTCCTTATGAAATCTCAGATCATGGGCGCATATGAGTATTTTTTTTATAGTAATTTTGGTTATTAGTGCTTGGTGAATACTCTGTGTTGCCTAGTAATAGAAATAAGAATATAAATATAGATTTTGAGCAATATATATCAGGACTCAATAGCGGAGTGGATAACGCGATAGCGTTTGGAGCGAAAGATACTGGATTCCAGTTCCAGAGTGAACAGGTACATCTAGCTGACGAGTCCCAAATTAGAAAAAACGCTCGTCAAACTGGATTCTACTGCTAGCCACTATCCATCTATGCTTACAATGCTTGTGACTTCAGGGAATATCGAGGCAGTTCGCATAGGATGCGCATATGCCAATTAGAGACTGACCAGTAGCAATGAGAAGATTCAAACAAACAATACGATATATATATTTGATTTGACAAAGAGATTATTATACAAGAAAGATATGAAAACTTTTGTTTATGGAAGGTATCTTTTAAATTACATTCATTAGAATGAAGGTTAAATGGTAAAACTATAAAATGATGGGGAAGATTTGTATCTTAGGTTATTAGTTTTGATGATGTTGTGCTTTCGAACAAGATGAATTCATTGTGGAGATCTCAATGTCGTTCTAAATACAACCATCGCCTACTTATAGCAGATGGTTGAATAGAACTGATATAAATCCTCTTTTTATGACTGGTCGAATATATCAATTATCCTTCCTGAAAATAAGTTTGATTTCTTAGGTTTAGCTGAAGGCGTTGAGATGGTGGGGAGGGCACACAGTCTTCTTCGCTTTTAGAAAATATGCCATACTTGAGTTGTGCAATAAATCAGGCGGTCGATACCACGTTGTAGTTTTCCATCTCTTTAAATTCCATTTGTAGGCGATGAGCAGCATATGAAACGAAATCATCTTCAGGTAATTTAACAGCCTTTAAACAACTATATCACAAATTAACTAAAAAGTCTCAGTAGTAAGAATTTAGGTTAATTTTCTCAGTGCCATCAGGAGAAAATTCACAAGATTTATTCGGCGAAATGAGATTAAGTGCTCTGGCGCGAGACTGGTAGGTCCTGGGTTCGAATCTCGCGAGTGCGGGATCGTGGATGCGCAGTCACTGAGGAGTCTCATAATGGGGCGAAACGGCCGTCCAGTGCTTCCAGGTTTTCGATGGTGGTCTAGCTTCAATTGACTCATGATTTCAACTATGAGAGATTTGCATACTTTTTCATCTTTAGCTGCTTTGAGATTCTGAAAGAGAATTAGAACCTTTGAGGTGTAGTTATCATGATGTGAAAAACCAGCTCCGGAAATGTCTTGATATTGTTTGAATGAAGATTTAAATGTGACAACTGTATCTGTATAAAAATGAAACTCACTAAATTAATCAAGAATTCGTTAATTGATCCCAGTAACTCAGACAACTGTGCAGAATTCTCTTGAATCTAGAAATTTTTAGCCATCAACTTAATTTATTTTAATCATGGTGCCTGAAACTGTAAAATAAGTTTGAGCTGCTCTGATGAAGTTGATGTTATTGAATTCATTTCTACGCGTTGAGCTGGAAGTTCATCTCCAGAAAACTGTTATGACGTAAGGTGTTTAAAAGTCGATACTGATACGTAATCTTTATGTTTATAAGCTTAACTGGCTACTAAAGTGAAAACATTGAGATTGAGAAGGGAAGTTTATTGGCTAAAGTGAATTGACATGTATGTTTACACATATATACATATCCCTTATAAAATTAAATCACTAATAGTGTGTCTCATCCCTTTGAAATTAAAGTCATTTTTTGTCCCACTATAACATTGGGAGTGGATAGGATATACATTAAGGAAAGCACCAATATGCATTACAAGGCAAGCCCTAACTTGGAATTCAGAAGGGAAGCAAAAAAAAGGAAGGCCAAAGAACACATTACGTCGGGAAATAGAAGCAGATATAAAAAGAATGAATAAAAACTGGAAGGAACTGGAAAGGATTGCCCTGGACAGAGTTGGATGAAGAATGCTGGTGAGCGGTCTATGCTCCTCTACGAGGGGTAACAGGCGTAAGTATGTAAGCAAGTCTTGTCCCACTACATGAACTTATCATCTGACTGACTAGTACAATGTATCAATATGTGGTTAGGTCACATGATTAAGAAAATACATTTAGAGCAATTTAGTAACCAAGTTCAAATTTAAATATCTGGCTTTAATTTATTTTTAGTATTTCAAGGATAGAGATACTTGCAATCTGTGTAAAATGGAAGTGTAAAACTTACATAGTCTAAAGCTTTTACACAAGAACCAAAGTCAAGGTTATACAACCTGTATGTAAACATATTTAACCTCTACTTGTTGATCTATTATCTATACATAGTCAATAAACTATAATGAAGAAGTAGACCATATAACAATTGTTCTCAATTCATTTCTAATGCATAATTGGTAAACTTGTATGCCTTTGGTACGGGTATGCAGCGGTGGCTTAGTATTTAAAGCATTCAACTTTAAAGCAAAACGTCGACGGTCCGAACAGCTCTCCACCGGGTAGTATCACTAGCTCCTAAACAAAGTGTAGTTCAGAGTTGAATATATAAACCATTAATTGTTAAATAAGGTACAGAATGACAAGGTCGCTTAACGTCATTGGCTGGCTGTCTAGTTGTTTATTGGTTACTGATTTTTGATTTTATTATTATGAGATGACAAAATTACTCTCTGAATGTTTAACATTGTTGGAAGCACAATTTTAGAATGGTAGACTTTGTGCACAGAATAACCAAACTTATGGTAATAATACTTATATTAATCGTGTATCTTATTACCGAAGGGCATAGGCTATCTTGACGCAGTGGTCGACCTTAAATATCGCAACAACATAATCAACGTACAATGACCTTGACTCTTGTTCTTTAGGGTGCCCTACTGTGTTAAATAAATAAGCCGGGTAATGCCAATACAGAAAGCAGTACACTTAAAGTGGGAGAGTGAAAAAGTACTATCGATCGTACTTTATTGTGATTATAGTACGATATTTCCGATGGATAAACAGCATCTCAAGGAATGCTGTCATAACGCAAATAAGAGTTTAAAGAAGTTAGCCTAAAAAACAACACATCTCATTATGTCTGACAGAGTTCCTGTGCCACTGATTAGGCATGAATAACACGTACAAAACTATGCGCAAATAGACCGTCTGTGATTGGTACTAACCAGCTGTCCCTTGGCATCTGTGCCCACACTCCTAAGTGTTTAAGACTATTACTAACCCAGTTTATTTTCAAGTCGCTCAAGAAGAAAATTCCTTTAACTAGACGCACATACCTCTAACTACAATCAAGTTGATTGTGTACACAGTGAAAGTCCATATTTGTCCCCAAATTCTTCCTCTATTCCTATTATCATCCCCTTCATCTCTAGTTACCCAAATTCTTTCACGTACAACTAATGCTAATTATCCTATCTTACGAAAAGCTATCCACTGTTTTACGAAATCGCACTCCAAAATACATCTTGGAGCTTCAGATATTTGAATGTTGTTTCAAAATGATTCAAGATACTGTCAACTTTCGAATGAAGGAAAAATTTTTTAGACAAGAGTATGATTTTAGCTAGACCAATAAAAGTCCCAACTGAAAACCGTATCAAGGATACCCAAAGGTGTTTATAAACTGGTTTGGCCGAAACATATCTTACTTACTTACACCTGTTACCCCCAATGGAGCATAGGCCGCCGACCAGCATTCTCCAAAACATATCACCATACAATATTGTCCTTTTCATAAAAACCCATTTACTATACTCAGAAACGTATTTGATCCCTTGCACATGAAATATGATTTACAAGGATTTGAGTTAAATACGTTTCTACAGATACTATGGGTGAAAATGACTTAATAAACTTTAAAATTAATGAAAACCAAATAACTTACGATCCCGATAGAACGGTAAGGTTTTCTGGAAATACTGGTTCAAATACAACAACCACTAATACTTGTGCTATAACGGGATTAAGGTCATTTGTTTTGAAGTTTTCTGGTGATGGTAAACGTACTAATCCACAAGCAACTTGATAAGTTACTTCTTCTGTAGCATGATTCTTTAGTTCACTTTTTTGTTGAAGTCTATTAAATTCATAAATAAAGAAAAAATTTTAAAAAAAGAAGATCAGTACTAGATACCAATATGTTGAGTCGAACCGTGCATGTGAAATGAAACTAATCTACACAGAGTACTTTAACGAATACAGATTACCACGACGCACAATCCTGACTAGTATTGGGGATGATTAGAAGAAAGTTACGGGCGGTCAATCCAAAATGTGGCATCAGAGCTTGAAGTCACTAACTTCTAGTCTGAGCCATGTTGGTAGATGCAGACTATTTGGTTGAGGTCCGCGTGACTATCATAACCAATAGTTGGAGACTGTGGGTGACATGGCTCAGAATCGATCACAATGGCGTCGGTGTATACACTCTTTATCTTCCCTTAAACCTTGAGATTCAAACTGCTACATATCTGTCTTCTTTCGTCTAGTATATCCTTATATACAGCCTTTCTTTTATATATTATCACCACTAAATGAAATACTATGAATTCAGTGTTCTTCTTGATGTGCTAACGAGGTATGGCAACTTGGACTGATGCATATATGTGCCTGGTCCTACGTTGTAGCTGACTGACTCACTGAACGTTATTAATATGACATTTAAACAATCAGTAATCATTAAATAATGTTCTCAATATAATATTTTCCCTATCAATATTCCAAAAATCGTAGATCAATCAAATCAAGACTAATTACCTTATCTTACTATATCATAATGACTACTTATATGTTGGGTGTATTCCAGAGAATCAATGTACAATTTACTAAGACAGTAAGAGTTGGTTCGTTATAAATAAACATAAAACACTAAATTTACTACTACTATTCTATAAATCTGAAGGGCACTTAACTTAAAAAAACATTTTGTGGAAAATGTAAGGTTTCTTATTGAACAAATATTGGTGGTCAGAAGAGATAATATTGATATGGATAAATTACTGATGAATATTAGGTATGACAGACCATAGTTCCCCACAAAAAGTCAACAAATACTTGGCAGTTTCGATTCCTCAGCAGTGCGCATCCACGACCCCGCCTCGCGAGATTCGAGTCCAGGATTTATCAGACCACTAAGATGGCCGGCATCCAACAGTGTTAATGCCTAACTTCAAATGATCCACGAAATTGAGCAACCGTCCACCATAGTCCTTAGTGAATTACTATCTTATAACATACCCTACTTGTATGTAAACTAAACGTGATATCTAGCTACTATAATCGAAAAAGATAAAACGGAGCTGGAGAATGAGATTCAACAGCGAATAAACTATTTTGTAACTACTACTACTACTACGTACACATATATGTACATATATCTACAACGGAGAGTACGACAAACTTGTTAAAATACTAAATGGTAACAATTCTTTCTTGTATTAAACATGTCGTATTGGATAAAGTGACTAATACTACCACTATTATTATTATTATTGTCATAGAAGCATAATGACAGGAAATAGAAACCTTTGATGTAGATACCCTACGCGAAAATTAATGAACCACATGAATAAGCTCTGAAAATGTTTCCCCGGGTTGATTAATGTATGTTCATATATTTTTTAAAAAAAAGTGAACTCAATAAATCAGATGTAAATCAAATGAAGTTTGATCTTATCTCGCATTCTGATGAAACTACTCATTAATATAAGTGATATAAGTAATATATTATATGCAACACATTTATAATTGATAAATAAATCGATAGATAACTACCACTTACCGAATAAAACGTAAGGAAACAAGTTCTGTCCAATTTCTTAAGTTACCTTTATCAATTTTGACAGTATTATCCCAATCCTAAAAAGAACAAACACAGAAATATTCTTAATAGATAACAAACAATTAACGTGTACAAGGCAGTGGAGCATCGTAAGGAGATGCAGTCCCATGGTAGCCGGTGATCAACAATTGTTTCATACACCATTTGTTCCCTCTCAGGATACTGGAGCCCATGTGCGCTATTGATTTGTAATCAGGGTTTTCCAACTCCCCTAGGTGGACCCTCCACATCCATCAACCCGGTTAAATCGCCGGACATTCGCTTTTCGACCTCTCAATTTCTTAAACAACACAATTGGGAAATCAATCATGCTATCACATAAGAAATAGAAATTTTAGAAACAATGTTACATTATCGAAGCTTTCGGGGGGGGGGGCTATGATGGTGAGTATTCAAAACTGAGTTAGAAACACTGAGCAAAACGCCAAGTTCATTGTAATTTTGCACTGAGTAGCACTTTACTTGCCACCTTTCATATAAAAACTAATGTTACGCCAAGGACAGTTCGGAAAATCACGAAGATGTAAAAAACAAATAAGCCTTTGGGATTTTGATGTAAGTTTGTTCTCTGAGCTGGATGGTTTGGTCGTGGAGCTTTCAACGTCCTTCTGAACGACATCATCAGCACAAAAACACTCACCTGAGCTACAAATCTTCGCCACCATTTCAAAACCCTTTGAGATATTAATTCTCCTTGCTTAGTAATGACGTCTTTTTATTTTTGGTTATTTTCTCTTTATGTATTACTATAAATTGATGAACGAAGTTTCTCATTCCTATATCTGCCTACGTTTATAAACCTGGTGCCTTAAGGAGTTACTAGTTTACAACAAGAATACAAAAATAATCATCATTAACTACCTTTGTCTTATGATTTGAATCAATTTTATTTGTGTTACATACTTGGGAAATAGCTGATCATCACTATTCGAAATTCTTGTTCCCTCATACATGTGTGTTCAGAATTTTGTAGCTAAAGTAGTGATAGACTAAGTAAGTCATACATATATATGCATCATCCATAGAGCCAGAGAACTGGTCAGACTTTTTTCAGCTAGATTTACATGAAGACTGAGTTATAAGTCACTTAGTATTGTTTGTTTGAATCTTCCCATTGATGTTTAGGACTGTAACTGGTCAGTCTCTAATTGGCATATGTGCATACTATGCGTATTCCCTCGATAAAGCCTTAATTCAAAAGCATTATAGGCAAATATGGATAGTTTATTTTTATTTACTTAAACACATAAATATTGGTACAAGGAAGCACCAGATACATATGTGCCACAAAAATCAAATGAGATTTGCTTGAGAGCTGTGATACTGCCCAGGTGCCCGAACTAAGCAGGTGGTTTTCTTAGGGGCCCACACCCAGAGCCTTTGATAGAAAGATCTGATCCACAAGGCAGTGGAGCATCGTAAGGAGATGCAGTCCCACGGTAGCCGATGATCAACGATTGATTCGTACGCCATTTGTTCCCTCAGGATACTGGAGTCCATGTACACCATTGGTTTGGAATCAGGGTTTTCCAACTCCCCTAGGTGGACTTCCGATGTCCACCAACCCGGTTAAAGCGCCGGACACTCGTTTTTCGTCCTCTGAATTTCGTAAACAACAGTAATGTCACGAGAAGGCAGTGAGTAGGACTTCCCTGGCAGAGGCTATATATTCGCGTGGCCATGTGAGAGCATTTCGAGAGCAATAGCGGACTCTCCCCACTCTCGGTCGTACCAGGGCATTTGGGGGCAATATGGATAGTGACTAGTAGTGGAATCCAGGATGGCGTTTGAAGCGAAAGGTACTAGGTTCGAGTCCCAGAGTGAATATCAACTCTGAGATGCAGGTACATCCGGCTGACGAGTCCCAAATAGGACGAAACGCGCGTCCTGCATCCCACTACCAACCATCATCCATCTTTGCTTATAAGGACTGAGTTATGTTTATTGAAATAAGGTAAAGCAAATCTTAGCTTATTCTACGCTAAATATATATAAAATTAAACCTTTAAGCAGCGTTTGGTTATCACATTTCTGATGCATCAACTACCACCTCTTTACAGACTTGTGGGATAGTACCCTTCAAACGCTTTGTACCCTTCAACATCAAAGGAATTTATCGAATTCCCGAATTATTTTTCTAAGCTTCCTAAATGAAGATGTTTCATTTTGCATTGGGAACTGTAGCAAACCGAAGTAATATATAAAGCCCAAAACTCATGGAGAAAACCTAATCTTTGTATCATAAAAGAGTCTTTAAATGAAAATCAATTTAGCTAATGAGACTCTAAAGATAAAGATTTCGGGTCCACTTAGAAGACATTAGTGATATGAACAGTCGAAACGTTTTATAGTTCATTGTTTTCAAGCTAAATAAACAATAAGCTCTTACATCAAACTAATTTTATGTGTACGAACCACCCTATCATTCAACATGGAATTAGTGACATGTAGTTTAGTTCGAAAAATGTATGCCATAAAAACACCTCGAGAAAATACTAAACGAAGTATATTGGGGTAAGGATATAAGTAACATAAGACGTGACACAATCATATATCTGTTCAAAATGCTAAGCAGCACACCTACGTACTTGAGAAATCAACAAGAGAGAAAAACAAAGAAATGAAAATGATACAGCAGTGCAACAACGGGATGAAAGTGACAAGATAGTAGAATATTCAGAACTAAAAACAGGATAATCTAGAAGCATCTGCGTAAGGTATTTATTTTGCACCATACCACCTAGTTTTCAATTAATTATTTTGATTGTCTTGTGAAAACTACCTAAGAGGCCTAAGTACTTTTACAAAACTCGCATCAAGTCAAAGACTTCATGGATTAGTGCTGTCAAGATATGATTATCCTGGAACATTTTCCTGTATACTTTTACTTTATTAAGCATGACATGTTGAGGTAATTGCTGGTTTACAACTTGGAATACTTGTCCCAATTCTGATTTATTGAGAGTAAAATAAAGCGCCGACAGGATTCCTTTCCCATATTTAACTTACCACACTGATCTGTAATCAGGCTGCACTAACACATATATACTGAAACACAAATGTATCATACAACAAAAAATAGGACTAACCATAGGATTATAGACACGAAATGTTTGAATCAGAAGGCTTGGATACCGACGATGAGCGTACACCGTTGTACCTGAAGATACACATAGTTCATTCTGGAACAACCAAAGGAGTAAAGAGATACTTATGTTGGACTTTGTAGATAAAGCAATACATGATATTGAGGGATTTATGCATATATGACTAAATAAGAGGACTGATAATATGGAACCAGTGTTCCTTTGATCCTGAGAATCTAATATCCTATTTATAAAGTGAAAATTTTCGCTGCAAAAGGGTTCCACACAAAGTGGAATGATAACATTGAGAAGAAATGGGAGACGGAAAGGTTATACAATCTATAAACAAGTGAACAAGGAGATTACTTAGCAAAAAACAGCTCGATTAAAGAAGTAAACAAGATATAACCCGTTCGATTAAATTTCAGCTCGGTTACATCGAACGAACTATTATCATAATGCCTGTATACGATACTGGTAATTACATGATGACGATACTGAATGTGAGTTAACCTCCAAAGATAGATCAGCACAAAGGATGAGTTCAGACAAAAGCTTCCGGAAGTTTAGGAGTAATTTTCATTTCAAAAGTGTAAAGTACATCCGTAAGTACAGACACCAATTAGCAACCGATTAGATGCTATGTGGGTAGTCTGTGAATTATCTAAAAGTATACTGACGTTGTCCTCGTGCTCAAGGTCTTTTTTCATGTGACGAATCTTTTATAGATGCTTCCAAAGGGTCACAGCAAAACTAAAAGAAAATGGCGAGATCAGGCAATCTTCCCTGGTCCTACTGCTGAATTCGAATGATGGAGACAGGTGATTTTGGGTTCTCACACTAATGTATTTTTGTAAAAAAAAGCCTTGCATTTAGGTATAAAGTACATGCTTTACTTAGGGATACTGATTTCCAATTTATTAAGTGCAATTTGCATAACTTATGTATGATCACACAGTGAGAAAATGTCGTCCACATACTCAAGATTGCAAAGTTCTTTTCCAGATGACAGGCCTATATCATCAACACATACTTTTTTCAGGGCTCATTAGAGAATGTCATTACTAGCCAAGAGGAATAGTGGGACTTGGCAACCCTTCCTGACCTCTCTGTTGATCTGGAACAATAAACAGAGGTGGTCGTATATCTTTGCTTTGCCTAAAATCCTTGTTTATTGAGTCTTCAAAATCGCAAGAAACTTCTCGAACGTCCTTTTATTTAAATGATTCCCACAGCACATTCCTGTTTAGCGACCTGAAAGCGGCCCTGATACAAAAAACACAACTATTAACCTGGGATGTGTAGGGGCACTTTAAAATTTGCGGGAGTGTGACAATATAATGAGAACACCTATGATCTGATTGGAAAATAGTGCGCTTCTGGAGAGTCAGTAGTTCATGAGTTTTGGACAAAGTATGGCAAAAGCCAATAGTTTTAACGTGATTGAAAGTAGATTATAACATTTTAGTTGTTGCATAGATTACAAAGTACTTTTTTAAATGTGGAAACGATGATCGTTTAATTCTAAGGTGTTGGAACATTAACTGTCTCCCGAAAATTCTTAAACAATTCAGTCATTCCTCTAGCCGAAAATTCTTCACTATACTCAGGAAGAGCAGGGATTAAGTCGTCACGGTCAGGTGACTTGTGAGTTTCTAAAATTTCAGGTTCATTGTGGGCCCCTGATTCGTTAGATGGATTTACCTATATAGATCAAGAGGGGGGACAGAACGCTGACTGACGTTAGTGAGGCAAAATACCAGTTGTGATGGCTCATGTCAGGACTTTAGGACAGTTTTTGATGAAAGGAGGTAAAAGTAGAGCAAATAGTCAAGTTTATGATATTTTAGTTGAAGAACATGTGGAACTCAACAAGACTGTCAACCAACATCAAAGCCATAATCTTCAATACGAACGTCAAGATAGTTCTACTGCACGGAGCTGAAACTTGGAGAACTAGTACAACCATCATCAAAAAAGTACAAGAACTTATAAACAGTAGTCTAGGCAAAATACTGAATGTCCGTTGACCAGATACTATCAGCAACAGCCTACTGTGAAAGAGAACAAACCAGCCTCTACCTGAAAAGGAAATTAGGAAAAGACATTGGAAGTGAATAAGACACATTGAGGAAATCATCAAACCGCATCACAAAGCAAGTCCTAACTAGGAATCCTGAAGGTAAACGAAAAAGAGGAAGGCTGAAGAACACACGGTATCGGGCATTGGAAGTAGACATGAAAATGACGAGTAGCAACTGGAAAGGATTGCCATGGACAGAGTTGGATGGAGAATGTTGGTGGGTGGCCTATGCTTCTCTACGATGGGTTACAGGAATAAGTATGCTACTTCTTGACACAAATATTTGATCATAACTCCGCCAAATCTGTGTGTGATCAAGTTCATCGTTATACTAAATACCAACGATGCTGGGAATAGAAATCACAATTTTTTTCGGATTTCTTAGATCACTCATCAACTTTCAATTTTTACATTGATGAAAAAATACGTATTTATTCATAATGATGACAAGGAGTCACCACGAACACGATTTCACAGACGTTGGTGGACTGCAGGTTTGTAAGACACAAGCAATCTGATCTACACTGCCGAACGATTCCTCTAGAGCACAGAAAAACTGCAAGCTCACAATATTTTGCTGTTTTTAAGTTATGTACCTAGTATTTTACAAATTTGTATCTGATGCAATCCAACAGGATCACAGTAAATATGAGTAACTAATCACTGAGATAAGAACTACGATGGGATTAATAAGTTCAACTAGTGTAGGCAGTACAATGGTGTTCAAACTTTCAGTCATTCAGCTACAATGTAGGACCAGGCACACATATGCATCGGTCCAAGTTGCCATACCACATTTGCACAACAAGATGAACAATAGGAAACCTTACATTTTCCACAAAATGTTTTTTTAAGTTAAGTGCCCTTCAGATTTATAGAATAATAGTAGTAAATTTAGTGTTTTATGTTTATTTATAACGAACCAACTCTTACTGTCTTAGTAAATTGTACATTGATTCTCTGGAATACACCCAACATATAAGTAGTCATTATGATATAGTAAGATAAGGTAATTAGTCTTGATTTGATTGATCTACGATTTTTGGAATATTGATAGGGAAAATATTATATTGAGAACATTATTTAATGATTACTGATTGTTTAAATGTCATATTAATAACGTTCAGTGAGTCAGTCAGCTACAACGTAGGACCAGGCACATATATGCATCAGTCCAAGTTGCCATACCTCGTTAGCACATCAAGAAGAACACTGAATTCATAGTATTTCATTTAGTGGTGATAATATATAAAAGAAAGGCTGTATATAAGGATATACTAGACGAAAGAAGACAGATATGTAGCAGTTTGAATCTCAAGGTTTAAGGGAAGATAAAGAGTGTATACACCGACGCCATTGTGATCGATTCTGAGCCATGTCACCCACAGTCTCCAACTATTGGTTATGATAGTCACGCGGACCTCAACCAAATAGTCTGCATCTACCAACATGGCTCAGACTAGAAGTTAGTGACTTCAAGCTCTGATGCCACATTTTGGATTGACCGCCCGTAACTTTCTTCTAATCATCCCCAATACTAGTCAGGATTGTGCGTCGTGGTAATCGGTGTTCAGGTATACGTAACACGTGGCCCAACAAACTCAGTCGATGAAGTTTCATCACCTCATCAATTGATTTACCATCATTCCGTAATATCCTGCGTTTAACCTCACTATTACTTACCCGGTGATCCCAGCAGATGCGAACAATATTTCTAAGACATCTGTGGTCAAATACTAGTAACTTACGAGTATCTTCTACTCTTAATGGCCATGTTCCACAGCCGTAAAGTAGAACAGAGCGAACTGCTGCGCAGTATGCTCGTCCCTTAATTGGTAGACGGACATCTCGTCTTCGCCATAAGTGACGTAAGTTGACAAAAGCCAAATGAGCTTTTAAATCCGTGTTGAGATTTCGTCAGACACCAACCCATTAGGACTGATCAGACGTTAGACTACTTCACATACTCCTGAAGTCCTGTTTGCGCTTATAACCCTGATACTTTAGTATTGTCATTTCAAAGACTCTTGCGAGGTTTCATTACTTAAACGGGTGAACTATATTTTTAGGTCAGTAGAAGAATTTAGTTTAGCATACTAGAACAGTATCTAAATTAATACTATCCAAAGTTTCGGGAAATCGAACGAAACGAATATTACATTTTGCTAAACTTTCAATAAGGGGTCTCGATAATGGGAAATCAAATGGCGACATATTTAATCTAAACATTTTAAATTTAGGTCAGCATAGTAGTCTGAATAGGTATTCCTCAAATTATGTATAATGACCTCGAAAGTCTAACCTACACTTATAGCACAAAAAAACACCTTTATTCGCTCACTTACCACGTGCTTGAAACAGCTCATTTTATGCATCAGTCCGTCCCGGATATCCAGTAGTAGTGCTTCTGAGACATACTAAAATACTTTTTATAAGAACATACTAAAATTGACATATCCATGAACATCTAGTGTGATCAATGCAGGTATCTTGGTGCTTTGAGATAAAAACCCGTTATTATGGATCAATATGTTATGTTCTTGAAAAGAACAACCAAGAAAGCCATTCCCTATGTCAAAATTAGTAAAAATGAGTTAGCAACGAGCCTGTGAATGTAAGAAGACTGCTCTGTGAGTTTTCCGGCTGAATTAAAAACGCGTCTAGATCCTTCAATTTTTTTGCAAATGGTTTAAGGCGGTCTGCGACACATTCGTGAGGTTCGTCTAATTACAATCAGGTTTGATTTAATATATAGTTACCAGTCTTTATAAATTCTGGAACAAACTCAGAAGGCGTCAGACACCAAAGGAATATATACAGACAACATAGCATAACCAAATATATTACAATCCTCCATCTATTAGTAAAAAATCCTCACAACCGAAAAAGTATTACTTGTACAACAAAATAATTGTAGTTTTCATCCCAATCTGTAGAAAATATGAAGTATTTCCATATGAGTGCTAAAGCGGAACTCTATTAGATGGCTAATATTGCCTTAGTAGAAATATACTCCTATGAGATCCAAATGTGTAAAGACCACCCACCAGGCTGAAAAAACGTCAGGTATTAGTAGAGTATAATTTCAAATCCGTCACGACCTTCCTATACAGTATCCAATAACTTTGGGACTATGTAGCACAAATTAGTTCGAATAGTTCAAATGGTTGTTGATGGAATAGAAGAAGCTTTCGCTTAACGGGCTTTTGTGTCTAGAAGCAGTGGATCACCGATACTTCCAGGCAAGAACCTGTGTATATTAACGATAATAGAGGAAAAAAGAATTTAGTAAATCAAAATAATATGTTATCCTTAGTCCTTAGTCTTTTCTTATGTGCTGAAGTTTGCGGAACACCGAGTCAGCGCTCAGGTTCGTTCGGGTAGGTCCTGTGCAGTTGTAGTTGAAACCTTCATCAATATATTCATCGTGGGTCGATTCAAATGCCCGAGAGCATTGCTCAGCCAAAAGGTTAGCGGCGTCACCACCGTTATTGTTTGGGCCAGTAGGACCTTACAGTTGGGAAACTTCAGTTTCGGCTTGTCGAAGAGAGGCCGTATGACTGAATAAGTTTTTCGGATTGGAGACAAATTTATCTATATGTTTTATCTTGTACTGAAGCCTGTCTTCTCTTATTGCATTTGTGCATATGTTCCCTATACGTTTGTATTGCCTGTACGCGTCCTTGTTATCAGTTCATTTGTATTCAGCACAACAGTGCTTTTTGCAGCTTAGCAAACTAAGAGTGTGGCTCTTGATGACAGTAATTCGCTTGTAGATTTTGGGTACCATTTCAGGAACAGTCTAACTTGTAGCACGTAAGAAATCCCAATGAGCATCCACTTCAAGTTGACGGTGAACATCCCAATCCACCTGTTGTAGATAGTCATGTAAGACTAACACATCCAACCATTTGAAATTCTAGAGCCTGTTGTTGTTGCGCTGACAAGACCGAAGGATAGGACGGCGTGATCATTTTTCCCCAGGGGAGCCAGGATTGAGAAGTCGTCGACTAGGAATTCTTCATTTGTGAATACCCAGTCTAAGCGCGACGGCGTCTGATTGTTTCTTCAACGAGTTGCCGACTTCACATTTTCGAATAATCCAAGATCGTCAATGAGGTGGAAGAACAGAGCTTCAGTTGTGTTGTTACCTACAATGTAGGTATGTTCCGTGAAGTTGATTCTAAGAAGATTGAAGTCCCCTAGAATCAGGATATGAGAGAATCCGAGAAGCGTAGAGCAGGTTAATCCTTCCAGCAAACAATCGTCATACTCAATGTCAGCAGTGGGTTTCCTGTAGATGACCCCGACTAGACACCTTTAGGTGGTAGACAATTTACTGAGCACCATACTGATTCATCAAGATTGAGAAACTCTTGGTTGTGAAGTTGGTGCACCTCCAGGCGTGATCGTTTGTATAATGATCCCCCCTTTCCAGTTTTCCTGTCGTTGCGAAACAAAGACATTCCAGGTACTGCTAGCTCCTGGTCCGTAAACTGAGACGATATCCAAGTTTCGGATATTCCTATCAGATAAACATCATTAGCGTCGCTAAGGTCACGTAGCTCATCCATTTTATTTAGCGAACTCACGGCGGTCATGTATGGACAGTTTATGCTTTCAATTTGGAACGCGTGAACTTCTTCCTGTGTGTTTATATGAGCCTTGCGTGAGTGGACAGGTAGCCTACCTATACAATGTTTACCGAGTTGGTAGTTTCCGTCCTTCACACGTTTTTTATGATCAAGACGGTTCACAAGGTGTATTGTCAGCTCCAGCAAGCGTTTGTGCTTGATCCTGTGGTTGTGTGGCCTATCCGGATGCATATGGATGCCAGTTGGCAGACGACGTCTGTTGGCACGAAAGCTCTATTCTAGGGAGTTCAAGCCTCTTGTTTAATTCTCCTCAGAGAATCCTATCATTTTTGTCCTGCATACTGAGAGGAACGTCGGGGTTGTCAATAAGGTTCATGATTATGACAGAGTCGTCACGAACCGTAATTGATTTCCTAGGTTTTCCAGGGCGTCTAGGTTAGGCACCTTGTTGTTTGTATGTCAAAGCGCGTTTTCGATTCCTAGGCTCGGTTATGACCGGGCGGACAGTCTTGGGAGTAAACTGTGCGGCCAAGTCACCAATTGATTTCCGCACAGTACTTGGGATGTTCAGCATCGGCGGTGACGCTTGGTCCTTTTTACCCCTGTTAACGTATGTCCAATCACCCACAGGGTTTTTGGGAACCACTGTTTCATTCAAGAACTCTTCCCTGGGGGGACTCAAGTTTACTGAGGGGGTCGATTACCGTCGACGTTAAGATGGTGCTTAGTTTCAGCATGCCATCACTCGTGTATTTACCTGCACCGTCGATAGTCCACCTGTCGATATCCCTTTTCTTGTTTGCACTTTGCGTTACTGTTTTGCTACCCGTCGTGATGCTGTTATTTACCAAGTTTTTAGACAACTTGTTCCTCAGACCTGTCAGTAGGGTAATGATGGTACCCAGCATAACTACAGTATCAGTGTTGCACGTAACATATACCCACCTACGATCAGACTTGCTGAGTCTGCTATAGGCTGATGCTGTTAGATCTGTGCACGCTTCGTGGAAACAACCTTTGCAGTTGTCACATTGCATGCCAGATGTAACAGCAAAACGGCACCAGGTCTTTTGCATGAATTTCTCATGGATAGTGATACAGACTGTCTTATAAATACAAGCAGTTAGTCTAGGACCGTTAAAAGAAACACACTACACAAAAACGGACAAAAGTGGATAAAAACGGGTTACGATAAGCTAAAACTAGCCTTTACGTTGAAAACTAAATTGTTAGTAGACCATTTACACCCCCCATGAAAATCCATGATTGATTGTCTTTTCAGAATGTGAACGCGTGTTGTAACTACGGAGGGCTAAGACGCCAGCTCAAACTTTATGAGGGATGCATCCAAGTCAAACGTGACACTCTACATTATGCGATGATGGCTTGTGCATTTGCCTCAGAGATGCTATTACTACTATTATTGTAATTATTCGCCGGCAACGCGATGGCGCGTATTTGTCGTAGAGAAATCACTTCGGGTTTCATCAGACATGTAATTATGCACATATTTAAATGATGTTTACATAATGGTCATCATATTTAAGTAGGTTCTAAAGTATTTAGAAAAACATTGAGTTAAATTTAGAGAAAAAGGGATGAGAGAAAGATGAAGCGTAAAAACAATTTGTTTAGTGTGTTTGGGAAATGAAATAGGGGCAAATGGTAGTGTACGTATTACAAAAGAATTACAAACAAATAGTTGATACAATAAAATTTATGGTAGATGGTTCATCCAGTAGTACTTTCGAATTATGTGATGAAAGTCTTAATCAATTGCGGAGAGTAATCATCAGGTATTTTTTTATATATGCCAGACGTTCATAAGAAAGGTCGAAAATATCTGGAAAAGCAGTTGATTTAAACAAGCGTAATACAAAATAGTCGTTTTTAAAATTAGGAGCTGTGGGTGGATAGGAGTAAAGTCCATATAGAAAAGAAATAAAGAGGGAGTCAAGAAAAACGAATATGTAATGTATCAGAGGACCAATCACGATGATAATAATAAATGCGAACAGAAGTGGGCTTTGAAAATTTCGTGAAAAAAATCAACGAAGCGAAATTTTGAAGCTTCTGCTTTCCTTTTAGTCAATTAAACAGTTACCGGTCCATATTTTATAGGCGATTGGTAACCATTCTAATATTTAGTAGTTGACACAAAACGCCTTCGGAGAGTAAGTTATCAAAGGTACTTTGGAGCCTGGTTATGGTTTTACTGTAACAGAGGTTTGTTCGGACTTCATTGCACATAGTTGAATAGTGAGTAACGAAGAGATTAATACGTAAGTTTGTGTAGGTTCTGAGAATAGGTAGAATATTCATTTTACTGCTTATTTGTTTCTAACTCTCTTTAAAAAGTAACCGTGGGCTTAGTGTTGTAGGGTCACTGAATATCGAACAAATCACTGACCCTTGTCAAGGTCAAGGATAGTCAACGCGCACAAACCAATCGTACGCCATGGACTGGCCCACGCTGCAGTGGTTATTCTTTCACTTCTGTACTTCCGTAGTTGTACCTTAACTAATATATTCTTGTAATAACGTCCTTTGTGTTGTACAGTCTCCATAGCATCTATTATCCTTTGATGCGTCGATGGTTCAATCCACGTAAGGGCTGGTCGTGAGGTGTGACTTCAGCGTTAGTTGGTTCGTCCCCATTCTCGTCTAACTATAGTAGGCCCCCGATCATTTTGACATAGATCATCAACGTAGATGGTCTTACACTGGTGAGCAAGACTTCGAATAACGCAACCTATCATGATCTTTTTTATTGCATTCTATACTTACAATTTTTCATTTTTAACTTCGGCTATCTCTATCAGTTTCTGTGAACATTCGTTGCTTCATATCACTGTTGATTAGTATTTCAACTGAAATAATTAGTTCAATCGATAGATCTAACCAAACAACTACGACTATCGTGGTTCTTTAACAAGCATTAGCAGCATGTAAATGCTCCTGTGTAATATGTCTGTCAAAATATCAACCACTCGTATGTATGGCCTGAAGACAACACGAACGCATATCTGTTTGCAACTTATCCACTTGTATAACCAATACAGGATAAACTGCCGATTATTAAATTCATCTTTCTGCTTATTCACTGTCAACTAACTACTAACAAAAACTATCTACTAGAATATTTTACTTTCTTGACCATTGCATGCCTAATTTCCAATTGCTGAGTTCCATGGCGAATCAGAGGATACAAATGCTAGAAATTTACGGTGAGTTTGAACCATAAATTTCCTGCAATGTTATATCTTGTTTAGACTGTTTCGCCAGGCAAGGCTACGTGTTTGGCTCAAATTAAATTTGGACGTATACCATTTCAGTCTACAACGCTTCGTTAATCTACGAATTTCATCAGCAGATTTCAATTACTTGGGAGCAAGAGTAATCCAGGCGAGTTTCATAACTGTGTTAAATAATTTCGTATAATGTTTATGATGTCTAAACATTTCGCTGCTACTTTCACTTAGACATACATTCTGTCCCTACCATCAATTTTTAGTCGAA